CCTCCAACCTAATAGCGATGGCCTCCAACCTAGTAGTGTCCTTGCTAGCAATGGCCTTCAACCTAATAGCAATGGCCTCCAACGTAGTAGTGTCCTTGCTACTAGTAGTGATGGCCTCCAACCTAATAGCGATGCCCTCCAACCTAGTAGTGTCCTTGCTACTAGTAGTAATGGCCTCCAACCTAATAGCGATGGCCTCCAACCTAGTAGTGTCCTTGCTACTAGTAGTAATGGCCTTCAACCTAATAGCGATGGCCTCCAACCTAGAGTGTCCTTGCTACTAGTATGGCCTCCAACCTAGTAGTAACCTTGCTACCAGTAGTAATGGCCTTCAACCTAATGGCGATGGCCTCCAACCTAGTAGTGTCCTTGCTACTAGTAGTAATGGCCTCCAACCTAATAGCGATGGCCTCCAACCTAGTAGTGTCCTTGCTACTAGTAGTAATGGCCTCCAACCTAATAGCGATGGCCTCCAACCTAGTAGTGTCCTTGCTACTAGTAGTAACGGCCTCCAACCTAATAGCGATGGCCTCCAACCTAGTAGTGTCCGTGTTACTAGTAGTAATGGCCTTCAACCTAATAGCGATGGCCTCCAACCTAGTTGTAGATTTGTAGGAAAAAAGCATGATTGTGTTTCGCCTTTGGTGACCTTTGTCCAGATCGTGCGTCAAAAGTGGGTTGTTTGTCGTGTCTAGTGTCGGCTCCGCAGTGCGGGCCTTCAAGCCCATACTGTACAGTGACTGTCGGCCTTGTTAGCCGATGAATTCTAGTATTTGGTTTCACCTGTCATTCTTTGTCTGTTCTGTCCTCCATACATTGTCTTCTGCCGCTTAAACAAAAAATGCAGTTGTTTCTATCGACCTCGTTCCATCTCTGTTTGGTCAAGGTCTTCAGCTTGTCATCGATGCACCTGAACAAAGGGCCATTGGTGCACCGTGCATTTCAGAGATACGGGAATAAACTGAAATAAAGACAACCTGTGAACACAGCACTGAGGTTGCAGCAAATATTGGTAGATGATGCTGGTGGGACCAAAGTAGCCGATCGAGCGCGTGGCCTGAAAGGAAGACTGAAATGGATCCACAAATCAAACATCTAAAAATAAGGATCCAGGATCAATGATTGAACCTCTGAAGTCTCACATCCATCGAAAATCATGGAACATCCCATCGCAGTTTCCTCACCTTGTCCCACTCTTCGAAGTCCACGGTGGAGCTGCCATCTTTGTCCAGCAACGCATATGCCACCTTCAGGTACATTGCTAGCATCTTCACAAAGTTTGCATGATGTCCTGAAAGACTTGAAGCTAGCTGACACTTCCTAATACCTTCTCATGCTTCACTTTTTCAACATATATACCAGTACTTCTCTTGTCTCCAAGGCAACAGGCCCTGCCTCGACGCTGCCAAAGGTGTAGTGCACATGCCTCGGTCATTGGAATCCCGAAACACCCCAAAGCACCACTGCATGGTATAGACCTTGCAAATGTTTGCGGTCTCAAAACAAACATCAAACTAAAGAGGTCCGAAATGACGAGCGGAACAGTATCTCATGCAACCCAATACATCCTTATAATATCTCTAGATGGACATGTAGATGTCAAAACCCAAAAACTGTGAGGTCCCAGCTGAAGGAGCTCTAAAATGGCAAGCTGCAGCTCCTTCAAGTCTTTTGCTTTGTTTCCAGTCGGCATGGGCTTTGCAATTGGGATTGCATCTTCGAATGGCGAGGAATCACCAGTCGTCCGAAAACAAGTGTCATCTAGAAGACTTCATGCGACTTCCATTTCGTGAGCATTTACAGGCCATTTCCATTCGGTTGGAGGCCATCGCTCGTAGGGAGGCTAAATGATCTTGGCACCTGCAAGAGGCCATTCATCACCTGCCACTCCTCAAAGGAGATGGAGCCTCGTCGGCATCACCCCGCTTCTCGCGTCTCGCTTCGCTCTCAATGAAAAGGTGCAAGCGCATGAGCACAGGCCTCCGCCATCTGGATCCAGGTAGCGAAAGATCTGGACAGCTTTCTCAGGGTCTTTGAACCTGAGTACTGAAGGATGAAATCTATAGTCTTGACGACATGCCTTGACAACTACTTGTAAAGCCCTCAATGTAAACCCAGCAAACGGTGAAAACTGTTGCAAGAAGCAAAGCTGTGTTTCAGGCTCTTTCCAACCAAGATTAGCCACAGCTTTTTTGAACTCCATCCTGGCACATGCAATATCTCAAGGCTGCTTTCATCCAAGATTCTGGCATCCAAAGCTTGGGCATCTGTATGTGGCCCGTGATCTCCCCACAATTTCCAACTGAATTGTATGGTATGTCTTCGTGTGCACACTTCGTGTGTCTTCCAGCCAACTGCCAGCTTTGAGCTTTGTCACAGACTCATGTGCAAGACATGGCAGCTCCACAAGGACAGAACGCCGTTGCCATCAGGCCTTGACTGGGTCAACTGGACTCCTACAAGACCGACTCAACACACCGCCAGTTTGGGATCCGACTTCAGATCGAGAAATAGAGATAAAGCAATTGCGCCAGCATAGATCCCAAATAGCAAGAAAAATGTGCAGCACCATAGCATAGCAGTGGCACGAGCATGCAGGCTCGAAACCACACACTGCCACTAGCATCTGCCAGCAGCACCCTGCAGTGACACTCTGTAGCGAACTCCAGTGGCACCAGCGCCCAGGCCTCAAAGCACACACGGCGATAGACATCTCGCAGCACCCTGGAGCGGCACCCACCGGCATCCAGGCTCCGAAGCGCACACGGCCATACACGGCCATGGGCATCTTGCAGCAGCACCCTGCAGCGGCACACGGCCACACATCTAGCAGCGGCACCCTGCAGCGGCATGAGCAGCGCACCCAGGCTCCAAAGCGCAGTGCCTCTTCCAAAACTTAACGCAAGAACCCCAATAGCTCTATATTTGGGGAAAACTAGGTAGTGGCCCTTACCTGCTGTCGGTTTACCTTCTTTTGTTCATCTTCTTTTTCGTAAATCCATCATTTCACCGAGTGCTTTATCGGGTTTCTACTGCTTTCACACCTGCAAACTGTCTCCGAGGTCCAAGCCCGTCAATCATCTGGAACGCAGCCTGCACATTGTTCTTGAAGTGCCGCATCACCTTCCAAAATTGAGCCCAGGAAGTGGGAGGAATCACCTCAAAAAACCTAGCGATACTCCATTCTTAGCCTACATTGCCTACATGTGTTTGACGGTAGAAAATGAAATTTTGCAAACCTTCCTAGCTGAGTCCCAGGCATGGACCAGGAAACTACTGACAGCTGGAGGCACACCCTGTACAAATCATCTCCGTGTGGACACAAGATGTGCAAAGCAAGAGTCTGCAAATGTGTGTTGTCCTGTTCATTCAACATTCTGATCTTTTATATGTATTTTATATGTATGCAAAGGAACAAATGTCAAAGCTGCGTAGAGTTGCATGGCATACGTTCACCTCTCTGCAGTCTGCATGTTCAATCCTCCATGCTTGTTTGGAGTTACAAAGGACTACTTTCGCAAAGTGCTTAAGCTGCCTGGAGGAATGACCACCAAATGATGTTTTCCTTGCTGAGGTCGGCATTCCAGCCCCTTGGACGCAAATCCACATGAAAGCTCCAAAGAAGAGCGAGTGGCATAAGCCATGGATGAGTTCACCCTTCTGCTTGAGTCTGCCAAAAGAGGCCAACTGGGCTGATGCAGTGCCATTGCTACAATGAAACAGTTATATTTGAAGGAAACGATAACGACAGAGGCTATATATACCAGCACCATTCTGTAGCAGGCAGAATTACAGACTAGGGAGCACACCCACAGCGTGCAAGGAGCTCACGCCGCATCTCCATGCAGCGATCCTTCGACCAAAAGCAATGGGCATGGCATCGTACGGCCATGTAAAGCAATGATGTGCTGGTCTTTGCCGTGAAACGAAGAAAAATGGATAAAGGTGAATCAAGGTCTCATGAATTCGACAGAGGAGGAAATGAGAAACGGTTTCTTCGACGTACTGTATTCTTTGTGCTGAAGTTCATGTTTGCTAAAAATCTCATCGTGCAGCGCCTCCGGGGAGCACATATACTGCCAACTCAAAGTGCCTCCTTGAGGGATGGCCCTCAGTGCAACATAGTGCAACTCATGTGTCCAGACACAGGCATCGCTGAGTCACTAAGTGCCAAAGGCCTTAGTCAACCTTAGTCTCTGTTTCTCATCGTTTCTCCACCCAGTTGAGGCCGGAGCTGCACGTTTTGCCAGGACGTTGGCACCTTGCAGAGTTCTGGGCTCTGGCGGCAGAGAAAGCCAACCCAATAGCGAACTATATTGGACCTTTCTTCCTTTTCATTTGCGTTTGCTTCTAATAGTCATGGCCTCCCCCTAATAGCGATGGCCTCCAACCTAAGAGCGATGGCCTCCCCCTAATAGCGATGGCCTCCAACCCAAAAGCGATGGCCTCCAACCTAATAATAGCGATGGCCTCCAACCTAATAGCGATGGCCTCCAACCTAATAGCCATGGCCTCCAACCTAATAGAGATGGCCTCCCCCTAATAGCGATGGCCTCCAACCCAAGAGAGATGGCCTCCAACTTAAAAGCGATGGCCTCCAACCTAAAAGCGATGGCCCCCAACCTAAGAGCGATGGCCTCCCCC